GAGTTAACAGCGACCAAAAGAAAAGAAGAGTTGGGAAGAAAATTGCAACATAAGACTACCTGGAACAAAGCAACTGCTCTGTCATCCAGAGACGCAGATGATCCACTGACCAACAGAGAAAGTGGATGAGAACTTGCCATGTGGTTTCTGTGGTTATAAGTACTTTGACGAAAAATTGGTCTTAGACGGAGAAAGGACCAGATGTAAAACAAAAAAACAAAGTGTAGTTTCATGAGGTCCATATAGGGGCTCAATGCCAGAAAACAGTGGAAAATACAAGTAAATACAGGTTGTCCCAAAAAATATATATGCACATTACAATACCGAATATTGACCTTATTATTGACCACAGTGTTTACGGAAGACACAGAAGGTGATCATTTTTAACACCTACAATCGATTCGCTAATCCGCTAAGTGTCAATGCTGACGTGTGAAATGGTTTAGTTTATTAAAATGTATTTACTTCAATCACTGAATTTGTGTATATATCCTTCTGGAAACCCAAGAATATGCTGGCACATCGCTCTCTTTTTGTGCTTATGAAGACCTACATTAAATTAAATCCGTGGCGTATGAGCCCTCTGAGAGCCAAAGCCGACTAGCTGCCTGCTGGCCTCACGTTCATATGCCTAAGCAGAGGTGAACGATCATCCAACCAGATACAGAGTGACGTACGACGAACCCCCAGCCATTGCTAGTTTTCCTGACCGGATTACGCTACTCATTGTAGCTCCCCAATTTCCTCCCATACACAAGTCGAAAATCTCATGAGAAAATTTCTTCTCCCCCGAGACTCGAACCAGCGCGCATTCCGTATCGCCGGTCCGAAGCATGAAGCCTCAGACCTCGCAGCTACGACGCTATAGTATGTAATATATAGAAAACATGCTATATACTATTACTAAGCTACCGAATTTTAAACATCTTCTTATACGGTATGAAACAAATAAAACAACTGGAACAGCAAATTATAAATAATTTATATCAAAAGTAACGTACTGCACTGCACTATGTAATAAAGCCTTATTTAACTGTTACATTGTCTGATTACTCGATTCTCTATGGTGCTGCTGGAAATTCTTTCAAAAGTCGATTGTATACTCGACTTGTCAAAGAATAACCCACATTCTTTATAGAACCCGAAGGTTAATCACCGTGTAGACAAAAGCCCGCCACCGGACTCTGTCCTGAGCTAGCTACATCCAGTTCGCTCCATTGATTCCTATCCATCTTAACTTTATCCTCCCACCTACGCCCAGGTCTTCCCAGCGGACTCCTCCATTCAGGCATCCTAATCAATGCCTTCTAAACACTCCTCCGTTCAACCATGCGTGCCACCTCATCCTCCTCGATTTAATCACCCTAACAATATCAGGTGAGGAGTTCAGCCCGTAAAGCTCATCGTTATGAAATTTTCTCCATAATCCGTCTCTCCAAGGTCCAGATATCTTCCTCAACACTGTTCTCAAAGATCCTTAATCTATGCTCCTCCCTCGACGTGGGAGACCAAGTTTCGCACCCACACAGCACAACTGGCAAAAACACACTTTAGTATTTTTGATATGAGATGGGAAGAGAAAAGATTGTGGACTGAATGATAGCAATCATTCCCCGAATTTAATCTGCTCTTGATTTCGTCATGAATGTCATTCTGACTTTTTAATGGTGCCCCCAAATACTAGAATTTTTTTCAAATTTTTCAAACGATTCATTACCTATCCTTATATTTTGGTTCTGTCCTGAATTCTGATGCCGAGACATGATCATATACTTCGTCTATAAATAGTTTATAAAACACTATTCAACAAAATCATATCCTCCTAAAGCTATCCACATTTAACTTAGAGCCAATGCTTTGAAACCTACAATGAAGTTAACGTCATTCATTAGTATGAATTTCACACTGCTGTCATGTTAATATTGGTAACAGGGAGATAAAGTAATAAGATAGATTACCCTTCAAAAGCACGCTGTTGATGTCGAATATCATGAAATACCATCAACTGGCGTAATTAACAATGACGTCTAACATAAACTATAAATTCTGCATCTGAATGAACATCGTTACATACCCCAGAAATCTACAGAGGCACTTCAACTGCATTCGACCTTTCTGTCGTCTATAACCAGCGCCGCGAAATGTATGTACACGAAGAACAAAAAGCTCTGAGAAATGTCCTTGCAGCTGTAAGGCACTGAGCACGTAATATCGAAACTGAAAGTCATCCGAAGGCCGTGTACCTCGTTGCTGACATAATGCAGTGTAGCGGCCATCAAAACGGTAATCAATGCTTTGTAACACCGAACTAAATTTGGCCCTTTTTGTAGTTCGTCCGCCATTCACCAAACGTCTCAAATTCCATTGTGACCACCCTAACTTTTGTCACAACTCACGTGTCAGTAAGCCCAGTCAAAAGGGACTGGAAGACAAATGGCCCTATATAGAAATTAAAAAAGAGTAAAGTCGTCTGTGTGATTTATTATTACTATTATCCCATCTATTCACCACTTTATGGGGTATGTACTTCCATGTACCCGAGACAGACCTTGTCCCTAAGGTACATAGGGCAGCAGCTACTTCCGGGATCCATATTGTTTTTAGCAAGGGCTACACGCATTATACAATTTTACTTTATGACAGAGTCTTTCGAATGATGTATGAAGATCCCAAAATGGCGGTCTTCTGCACTTCCCTGATGTCGTGTTCGCCCATTATTATTATTATTGTTGTTGTTGTTGTTTCTTTTGAGGGCACTTTCTCATTAAGAGAAATGATCTAGAGAGTGGTCTATTTTGGATCTAGCTTGGTTATTTGTTTTAATTTGATTGTTGCTTTTATTTTGTTTCCTTGTATTGTTTTAGGATTTTTAGTGTTTTACATTTATATTAGTGTTTACATTGGTAGTATATTTGTTTTTGTATTTAATTTGTATTTTTTGTTGTACTTTTGTATTAGTGTGCCTGTTATAGGCTCTTTGCTGTTGGCAAACACTCTAATAATGGAATTGAATTGAATTAGGGTATTTACTTCTGTGTACCTGAGACAAACCTTGCCCCTGAGGTGCATTGTGCAGTAGCTATTTCTGAAATACATTTCGTTTTTAATGCGTGTTACATGTATTATATAAATTTATTGTGAGGCATGATCTTTTCCTATATATTTTACATTCGCGTCTTTCTTTCCTAGAATGGCTGTTTTCTGAAGTTCTCTAATATCGTGTTCGCTTAGGATATTGGCCAAATACTTTTTGAGTGACTTTTATTATTACTATTATTGCTATTATTACTGAAGTCATATTATCGTTGTTATACAGCGCGGTCTATGTAACAATGTATTGAACAGCTCGAACATTGAGACCGGGGGTTTCAATCCCATTGGGCGTAGACAGGCCAATATATCACTGTTCTTAGTGTTACCTTGTGTAGACAGAGGTCTTCCGCTAAGTTAACCCTCCGTCCAACGAACGAGTCCTATCAAATTTTAAAGGCGTCAGAGTTTCAGAAATGATCTCACATTCAAAGAAGCCAGAGGACCTAATCCATAATTTTCCAGATTATCATCAACTTTATTATTAATAATAGGCCTAAATACATGGTAGACTCCTAGCCCGAAATCTCCCACCGTCCACAACTTATCAGTCTTCTTGTAGAATGTCATATCTGGTTTTTACATTAAAATCTAGCCTTATCAAAATCATTACACTTCATGTAAATTGTCGGTAGTTCAGCAGTAGCATCTCCTACAATGTAAGTGGAGACTGTGTATATGGCAGGGTTACTAAAGAATACAGAAGGTCAACTATACTTCTGAACGCCCCAAGGCGATGTAAGCGCGGAGGATGAGTAGGTACAGGGGAACATGCCTTAATGAAAGAGCAGTATAACGAAACAAGGTTATCCAAACTCTAAGCTACCAAAATAACAGATTTTGTACGCGACAGGCTTCATATTCTATACAACGAAACAGAAATCACACAAACAAAATGGACTTAAGACAACGTAACAGCCCCATAGACATTAAACATAGCACAGATAGGTAAAAGAGAGCCTTGGTTAAAACCGACGAATTGGCCCCCTACATTGTGCAAGCTGTAGAATACGTGTGTTGACCTTACATAACACTCATTCTATATTGCAGTATAGTATATGACGTAATTACCATTAACTGGAAGCTAAACTTATGTTTATTACACTGATCTAAAAATAAACTACGTAAAAAAATAACTGTCCACTTTGTAAGACCATTATGATATAACCGTCAAACTGCTATTAATTCAGACTTTGTTACGATATAATTGACCCTACCCTAGCCTATTTAACCAATTCTGGTAATATACCTAGCACATGCAATTTGTGCTGTGTTCAGATCACGAAAAATATTAACTGGTGGGAATGGGGCGACTTGGAATGATGTGAGCTCAGTTCAAAATACTGCCCACTGTAAATTCAGAGACTACGGGATTACAAGCCTTGTTTTGGTGAGCTACTGCATTCTGCATCAGTAATGTGATAAGGAATTTTGACTTACATAGGCAGAGAGAAAACATTTCTAAGACGCATTTGAATTTATTAGTTATAAATCGAACACTATTATTTGCTTTTAATTTACAAAAGGTGATAGAATCATGACATACGACCTGGCTAGAAATTGGGGCATAAATCTTCCTTTCCTAGAAATAGCATTTTACTACGTTTCGTGCAACTAGCAAAAGTGTATCTCCTCTAACCTAATAAAAATATTTCATGGGGAAAGAGCTGTTCTTATCGCCTTCAATTCCATTCGTACTAAACAAAGGATTTTCACACATAAATAAAATCATAGGTTTCAAAGTGTCTGTAATTTTAATATTAAGCTATATTTGTCTTCGTTGCAACTATTTTTCATTTCTCATAACTGGGAATGGCAAATGTTATAATGTGGTCCCATCTGAATACAGCGCTATACTTCGAATGTTTAGAATGGTGCCGGTATGTATTTTTGCTTTATAAATGCCCTACCTTGTAAGCAGAATTCGAGGGTTACCCGTATCTTCTGCAGCCTGTAAACAAAGCACGGCACCCCTGCTCGTCTCTTCTCTTCTTGTGTGTAGAATTTGGGGTTGTAAAAAGTACGGTCGATATCTGGAGCAGCTGGTTGGGATTTCTGACTACCAGAAGTTTGTTCACACGCACAAAGCCCCCGCCACTAGAAGCTTGTCCTATACTGTTCAAACGCTCAGACCGTCTGACGTCCTCAAGCAGTTTCAAAATGTAACAGCCACGAAACTGCCGTGAACTAAACAACTGACATTACCCCACTCACATCCTTCCAGACGTCCAACTGATTGCCGCTGGAAAACGAGGGGAAACGACCAACCAGTGCAGCCACTGCACGTACACGAAACTACGCTAGAACGGACAGAAAGTAATACAGAGTTCTACCAGCACATAATGGAAGGATAACCTTATTGCTGGTTTTATTTTCTGGCTTAACGTAAAATGACGCAGTTATATGTTGTAGCTAACTAGTTTCCAGGATGAATTGGAACACTAGAAGTTAATATGTTATTAGATGTTGCAATTGAGATCCATTTTATTTATCTAGTAAGGCTAACCTGTGCAAAAAAGAAAAACACTAAATAGTACTGTATCTGTGTAGAAGTTTTGAGTTAAATTATGCTGTTTTATTTGACATTGGGAGAATACTTCCAAAATTTTCCCTTAGGTTAATAATAAATGTAAAGAAAGTTTTATCACTAATACCTCACAGTATAACGCTGCATGTAGTGAAATGAATAACAGAAAACAACAACGAACGCTTTCATCTGTTCTGAAACTGACTGACCTATCTAAAGTATAGGTGCGTTGGTTTTACTGAAATTATTTAATCAGACTACTCATAGGCTATGTTAATCGACACAGTTACGTTAAGAAATTGGTGCGATATTAAATGTTAGCCCCCTATCTTTGTAGTTTGAGTTACCTATTGTTTCTCCGAGATACCCATTATGTCGATTTATTAGATACTTCAAATGGGGAACGAAATAAAATTAAATGATAGACTTGTAGCCTCCGGTAAGACAGAAGGAACTCTGGAAGGCCAAGACTTTGTGAGAACCACTGAGAAGCTTACAGTTACTCAGCAAGTGAACAAATTCCCTGTTTTATGGAACCATGGCTAATTACCATTTTCACAAGAGCCCACCACTAACCTCTATTCTAAGCTAGATTGAAGAATAATATCGAAATGTTTTTGTGAAATGCGTTGTGGTATAGGTGAATTAAATTGAATTGCTAAAGAACAGCGTCCAATAAAAAAGCTTTTATTTCAGTAACAATGGTCCTTCATGTTTTAATACTACAAATTTTCTTAATTTTATGGCAACTTTCAAGAAGTATTTGGATTGTCCTTTTTTAAAACATTGTATACATCTTATTAAATACAAGATGTTTTGACATGGCGTTTGGTAAAATGACTTATATTGAGGACATTGCGTTTACGACAATCTATTAGTAATATTTGCTTATTCAGTGTTATTTCCGAACCTTTCTTAAATCAATGTACTGTTCCATTTGTATTGCCTGCGCCACGAGTCGTCACCAACTTCAGCGCTCCATTCAGTAATCCGCAGACCTTGACGGTGCTGCCATCACCAACATTGCGGGTCACACGGAAGTGCACATTAGACAAAGATATTTATTCTGTAACTAGCGGGCCATGCGTTACTGGAATTTGAAACAAGATTTTTGTGGGAGAGAAGATCGGTAAAAAGCGAACACAAAAATAATAAAAGCAAGAATGTAAGACAGCATGCAAATCGATCACATTACTTTTGTTTCCCATGGCTTACACTAACAGAAGAAATACCCTGCTTCCATGTAATTCGAGACTTCCTACCCTGATCACGAAGGTCTGTCATTGTACCCTTTCATGAACCATTTCAATTCATATCCATCTTAAGATTGCTCTCCGACATACGCTGCGATTTCCAACCAAAATTGATACTGCATTTCCTCTTTCGCCACACGATTTTGGCCACATATTTTCGAACAGTATATCCCTCGTGATGAAAACTCCCAAATAATATTAGGATAAATGTACTTTATAAATTATTAAACTCCAAATTACGTAATTTTCGCCAATATGTTGTAAGATCTACCTTTGGTACAAATATTTGCTAAACTCTTTGTTCTGTAACAACCTCCTCGTATGTACACCAGAGTGAGTCCAAGTTTCACATACCTACGCAAGACTACTGAGTATAGACCAAAATCAAATCGAAAAACCTTTTAACAAAAGTAAGAGAACTTAAAAAATACATTACGACATGTATTTTTATGTATTTTGTCTAATAACCGCTTTTATTACAGATTGGTGAAATTATATTTCAGCGAAACACCATGTATGTGCATCTTAATGCTCTTATTCGATAAGAAACTGAAGTAACGCACATACTTTTGTTGTCAAGAGCGAGAAGGTAGTGAAATACCACACGATACTTTCTGTCTAGTAGGTTTGTGTACCGGTGCTGGAGTATCATTGCCCGATTCGCCCTTGCAATTCGATACAAGCTCAACATCGCCTTCCCGTGGGAACATTTCCGAGATCCTTCTGTGAAAATAATCTACTACAGGAGACTAAAACGATTTTCCTGATATTACCATGATGGGCTAATGGTACATAGAACCGTAAAGCGACATATGATGGAGTATGTTTCCGCAAAAGTTTTACTTTCTTTTGATAATGAGTAGGCTAGTTTAATTGCTTGAACCGGTATTTTTTACCCTCAATTCTGAAAATCATCCTGAGCGACAGATGGGCTGTTGACAACACATTTATTCAACATCAAACTTTAGTGGATAGAGCTGACTTCGTTGCGGACAAAAGAAGGATGTCTATCATTCTAGAGATCCTTACCTGTGTTGCTAGAGAGTCGTGTATTCATTCACACGACAATGGAATACAACTTTTTTGCTTCTCTCAGTCACTCCTGAAGAATTTCAAAGTAGAACGTTGAAATGTGTCCCAATATCTTCCTCCTGTATTCCCTTTCATCCTTTTCTTATATTCTAGGTTAGGGTGCGTCGAGCATTAAGGACACTTCCCACGGCGTCACCTGTACGAAATCGAAATTTCCGTTTTTCCTTTCACCCACTGAGATATGACGTAGAGTTACGTTTCCTCTGCGCGAGTGTCGTAAATATGAGTCGTTGTTTATATTTGCTTTAATAATAATCTATTCCATTTTACGTTATCATTGCCCTGCACTCTTAATGAACAGTTGTTCAACAGATGTCTAGTTTTCACGCGTGGGTGCTAGATGACAATTTCATTAGTATGATATTTTTGTGATACGAATCGAGAAGGACAATTCAGGAATTAATATCAGCGACCTTAGTTTTTCCTGCATCTATGCAAACAGGATATTTCTTTAAACAACGCCCTGATTATGAAGCCAAAAACACATCC